AACCACCCTTCAAGATTTTTTGTGGTAAAAAAGAAGATTAACGATTTATATATTTTCGTATATGAATTTAAGGGCTAAAACTGAAAATATTAGATGCTCGAGAGTATAATACAAACCAACCCATAATTAAGCGGAGATTTTTTAGAGTTATACCTCTACATATAGAATACGAGGTTTGAACGTCTGAGCTCAAAAAAATAGTAATATATGTCAATTAACGCTGAACTATATATATATATATAGATGTTGGTTTGTATATATATATATTTCTTCGTGGGATTATTAAAACGTTACCTATAAATGAAAAATTTATAGGTAACGTCTAAAAAATCTCCGCTAAATTATGGTTTGGATTATATATATATATATATATATATTTCTTCGTGAATTATTAAAACGTTACCTATAAATGAAAAATTGGGTATATTTATAAATGGTAGGCTAAATGAATAGTACCTATCATAAATGCTCTACCAAATATTAGTTACCTATATGTTATATAGTTTCATTCCAAACATAGGTAAGCATTAAATTTTTAAGAATAATAGTATTTTATGAAAAAATTAGGCTAAATTAATAAAATTATATTTAAAACTTTAATTTTTTTTAATAATATCCTTATATACTTTGTTTAAAAAATACCATAAAATTTTATTATTGATAAAAATAGTCTATATCTCCAAACTTTTTAGTGTTGTCTTTGAAAATTAACTTTTTAATGTTACTTTTGAAAGTTTTTTAAATTTTTAAAAAATGTTTAAATGTATTTTTTTTAAATTTTAAAAGAGTTGAAAGCTGTTAATAAAATTTTTGAAAAGCTGATATTTATGAAAGAAAATATTACTAGTTTCCATGTCAGATAAAGAATATTTTTGTCATTTTTTAAAAAAAATTAAAGGTATTTTTGAGATAAATTATAAAGTTTATGTGTATTTTTATTAATTTAGTTAAATTTTTATTTTAAACAAAATCAAATTTTTTTAAAAAATGTATATATTTAATTTAATGCTCATCCAAATTTTAAAATTATTTGATAAAATAAAAAAGTAGAAATAAATAATTATTATTATTAAGAAAAAAAAAAAGCGCCGACACAAATGGTGACCGACAGGTTTTGTAGTTTTAAGAAGATATCATGTCACGTGTCTTTTTTAATTTTTAATTTTAATTTTAATTTTTAAAAATTATAAGATGAAGAATTCATACAAACATTTTCTCTCAAATTTTGTCCTCTTTTTTTACTTTTGGATTTATCAATCTTTTCTAAAAATTTGAGAAATCATAGGTGTCCATCCAAATTATGCTGTAAAATGATCCCTCTCTTGTTAGTAAGTTATACAATAGTGATGATAGTAAAAATGAGTACATTAGGTACGGGGGAGGAAGGAGGTCTCCCGAACAATGTTTTCAAGATCGAAGAATAAAAATCGGTACTATAGGAGTTAGTTTTTCATTTAAAGACGTTCACAGGGTAGGGTAGAAATAGGGATGACTTTTGTGCCACTATTCAATGTTATGTCCTTCCCATATTTTTATTAAATTATAGGGAATAGAATAGACAAGATTTTTTTCGTAAAGAATTAATTAGGATTTGATTATAGAATAGTCTAATATTCTTTTTAAATCTCGATTCATTGAGATTTTAAAAGAATTTCTCCTTATAAGAAAATCCATTTGACTTGGTTTAACTTTTACTTAAATAATTTTTAAAATTTCCTAATAAAAACTAAATCATATTTTTCTATTCATGCTCTCGTTTCTTACTTAATCGAAAATTTCTTTTTCTGTTCATGCTATGCTCCCTACGTAATCGAGAATTTCCTTTTCTACTTATGCTCCCATTTCCTGCTTAATCGAGAATTGCACACCAATATTTAGTGTATGATTTAAAAACGAATACTCTTCCATATTCATTCACGAGTTTGAATCTTCATAGAAAAAGAAAAAAAGTGGACATTTTGAAAGCACTTTTGAAACAAACTAAATTCAAACAAAACCCACAATATCTTTTTCTACTCATGCTATGCTTCCTACGTAATCGAAAATTTCCTTTTCTACACTCGTTCCCATTTCCTGCTTAATCGAGAATTGCACACCAATATTTAGGGTATGATTTAAAAACGAATACTCTTCCGTATTCACTCACGAGTTTGAATCTTCATAGAAAAGGAAAAAAAGTGGACTTTTTGAAAATACCTTTTGAAACAAACTAAATTCAAACAAAACCCAACATTTAATTTTAGAGAAAAAACCTCATAATCTCCAAAGAGGCAATAATTTAAATGATCCCCAAGAACAATTAACTTGATAGAAAAGGAAAACCCATATTTCTCCATCTCAAGAACAAAACAAATTAAAAACAAACAAAATGAAAGGAGGAAGGAATAAGGATATGGGGAGGTTTTGAGATGGTTTGTTGGTTAGCCATTGGAGTATTATGAGTGGGTTTTTGTGGGTTAAAAGCGACATGTCGTTAACGTTCTTTCTGCCTCCATGGCTTGTCAAAACAAGGCCTTTTTCTTCTCTCTCTCTCTCTATCTATCTCTCTCTTAAATGCAGAGAATTGCATAATGGGCATATAATTGTACCTATACTCTGCCTTCTGTAGGGCTCTGCCAGAGGTCACGTGGGTGGATACCCTACAATTTCCCATCCCTTTCAAAGGCTCATGTGTCCTATTCTCTCTCTCCTGAGCCCCACTTTCTCTCACTGCTAAAGGTATTCTTCTTCTTGCCTTTACTTCACTAATGCAAGGGCAACTTTGGGAAGGTTTATGAATCTTTTTGGGTTAAATTATAGGACTTACATTGGCATTCTATTACCTAGATTGTTCGATGTTCAATCAATATCTTTAAGATATCTAAAAGTTCGAGAATTAAACAGAAAACAAATACTTGAAATGTCAATATAAGCATAACTCACTTAAACAAAACATGCAGCAATGAACAAGTAATGAGCAAGAGGGCAGAAATTTGAATCTCTCTATGTTCATATCAACTCAACTGACACAAAACATATACTATTGACTAAAGAGGTCATAAATTTGTATTTTCAACCGTCAATATCAACTCAGACGACACAAAAATATATACTATCGACTAAGAGGCTAGAAATTTGAATCTCCCATCCCCAATATCAACTAAACCGACACAAAACATTTGAATCTTCCCTATTGACCAAGAGGTCGTAAATTTGAATTTTCCACCGCTCATACAAACTCAAAGAAAAAAACCCATTCAATAAAAACATATCCACTCACGTAAAATATATGATTGTGAAAGGGATGGGATGGGATGGAAGGTGAGAAGATGTGTGGAATGATACTATAGGTGTAATGATTTCCCTTCAGCTATCTACACCTCTTCAAACCACTGATTCTCTCTTTTTGGACACAAACACTTCATTGATTACCTTCCCTGGCCCTTTTCTCACAATGGTCATAACATAGTAATTGGCTCAGTCTTGGCCCCCTATTGGGTCCATATATTGGCAGCAATTTGGGCCCAGAAGATTTCCGGATCCCTAGGGGCAAAAGGGTCTTTTTACTCTCTAACTTTTTATAATGAAACAGTTATTTCAATCTCTATTAACTAAAAACTACATGTTTTTTTGTTATATTTAAGAAGACAATGACAAAAAACCTCGAAGAACATTAATAAATTATATCCAAAATTAATAATTATAACAATAAGCATTTATTTTTCCACATTGAAAATAAAAAGGTACGAAACTGACCTTTCTCTAATGTCAGAGAAGGTTGAGAGTAGGTGTGAAGTCAAGCTCCAACTCATGTTAAGACCCCTTTTTGTATAAGCTTCTGAGGGAGGAGGTCCAAAGACTTCAAATTATAACAATAATAATAATATTAAGACAAAGACATCATTCATTCACTTCTAATTCGCATCGAGCCCATTGTGAAATATTTGTGGTAAAATCATAATGTTTCTAAAGAATGTTCGACTTATAGGTTAAGACTCGTAATCCATAGAGACCACATGAAAGAAAATACAAGACGCACAAAGAAAACCAAACCTCCAAAAGAAAAGGACTCTAATCCAAAAGAACCAAACAATAGAAAGAGACGTCTCTCGAAACGAAAATCCAAGAGAACGAGTTTTTGCTAATCTTTGACAAAAACCCAAGCTTGTAAAAACTAATTTTAACCAATTCAAGGCAGTCATTCTCACAGACCAAATACAAAGTTACCAGATAAAAGTTACCAAATCCGGGTTCCTACACCTTTGTACTGCTAAAACAAATTTTACATCATCTCGGGCTTAACATATCTAAATTTATTAAAATTGGCAGGCATGGACATCTGAGAGGGAATTTATTTAAGAACATATATGGAAAGTACCAACCATCCTAAATTCCAAAATTAAGAACACAGATAAGCTAAGGGTTAGGTAGGTAGGACAGGAGAGATGAAAGAAAAGGGAATTAATAAGGCAACTTACTTTCCCTGGATGAGGTAAATATCATGAAATTTCACAAAAGTGAATACTTATGTTGTCTATAATCACAAAGCAAAGTCATATCACAGATGCTGATCTCAAAGAAAATTGTTGTTATACCAAACTACCTATAATCTTTGCAATGCAAGTCTAGAATCTAACATCATTTATTGCATTCACAAACAACTTTGCATCTCAAGCATTTCAGTTCATTAAATTGTTACTTGAAATTCAAGCAAAAAGATTAGATTATCCAAACCTTGGCTCAAATGGTGTTCGAGCAGCAGCATCATTAGGCCGACTGTCTGGTTCGACCTGTCAACTATGAGTCCAAGTCCTTTCTGAGAAGCAAGATGTCATCTTCTCAAGCACATGGAGCCAAATGCGAGTAGATCTTCTAAGGCAGACTGGAAGACAGTTTGCCTTGAAAAACATATTTCAAAATCTTTCAAGACTACTAAGTAGTATAAAAGATTAGTTAAGATACATCATTGTAATATCCTGAGTACAAAAGTGAAACTCAAGCAAAATTTTTGAAGAACAAAATTAATAATGATAATACAGATCTTAGAAGGCAAATAGACAAAGCTTTTCGATCTCTAGACCATATAAGAAAGAAAGAAATAAAAAAATAATAAAGAATGTTTTTCGGGACGGGGGGTAATGCTACTACGCCTATTACAAAGCGCACGAACTGAAACAAAAGACAAACTTAATAAACCAATGTTTCCTGTGCATCACATTGCCTTACAAGCCTTAGCCTTTTGTCTTTCTAAAGTCCCAAAAGAACCCACCACCCTACAAAATATTCAGAACTTCCATAATAACCTTATTAAAAAAAAGGCCTAGTAAACAACACACATTAAATTGTTGGAGAGATTTTTCAAACCATTGACTCCTAAAGCAACAAATATATATATATATATATATATATATATAAGCAAGCCCCCCCACTCGCTAATAATTCTTAACTGCTTGACATTTCCATGTCAGTACATTATCTTCTCTTTCCAAATATTACATAAACACACCATATAAATTTTAGTAAGAACCTGCACGTAAGCGTGCGAGTGCCCCGATTGCAGTTGAAGGCATTGGCTGCAGGCAATACCTTGGAATGGGACTGCTGATTACTCCCAGACACTAGAAAACAATCTCCAAAAGCCTTTTCTATAAAGGAGCAGTTTATTTACCCCCTAGTTTTGGCTCTCTTCATTCCGAGGCTATTGTGGAAGGGAGACACGGAACTGGACATGGGCGAACCCTCCTCACGAAGTGTGCCATTAAGCATAGCTAGCTCTCGTAGCTGTTGCTTCTTGTAGAAATCGTGAGATTCATCCTAAATATATTATTAATAGGAAGACAAAATAAGAAAAAGAAATTATGTCAGTATGAACAATTAAGTCATCAACATACCAACCAAAATATATAGATCTCAAAAGAGATGCTCACCATTGGTTTGAGCAAGTCCTCGAGAATCTCACGGGCTTGCATAAGGCGAGCATCAATAATTTCAACTGGCAACTCTGCCTCAACTAGGATGTGGAGAGGCTCGTTCAAATGCTCATAACCCGGTTTTCCTCTCATCATTTCTTCCTGCAAGGCATTGAACAATATAACAAACTTGGTATACTGAATTTAGATCATAATATTTTAATGCTACAGAAGAAAAGTCCACTCCCAGGCATAACAAGTGTGAGAAAAAAAACATGTATAAGCTACTTCAAAATGAAATAAACATCATTACGTACAATAGTATATATTAGAATTTATGCCTGAAGGAGACCCTAAACAAGGATACTTAATCTCCCTTGAAGACAAAAACTGACGTGACTATGCTACAAATAAAAATCATTTTAAAATTCGAAGGCCAGAGCATGCAAGAAATGAATAGAGATAGAGAGAGAGTGCGAAGAGAAGCAAAAGAACATTTTCACTCTAAACGTTTTTGAAATACCAAATTGTCCAAATATTTTCATTAACATATGGGAATTGGTGTCTCTGTGAGGTATCATTTGATCTAGGAAAAAAATTGGCAACCACGTCCATTACAAGAATCTGCCTAGAACTCTATCAAAACTACTTTGTAAAGACCTATTCATAAGGATAACTCATCGAATGGGAGGTCGAACATGGAATGCACCCCATAACCGCACAAAGACCAAAGAAGATTGTACAAAGCTCCCAATAGTCATAAAAACTAGAATAATTACAGAAAAGTACATAAACTCAGAAGAACATTTTGAAGAAGATAAATGATAAGGAGCTCCTAGAAGATGCTAAGAAGGAATAAGCAAGATATAAAACCCCCTTCGCCTCTCAATTTCTCTTAATATATTACAAATCCATTCAAACCAGATTTTTAAACAAAAATTCTGATAGCATTGACCCAAGACACTAGCCCAGCCACTTTGCATTCTTTTTTTAAGTCTATACCCTCTTTCTCTCTGAAGTTAACTGTGTATGGCTCTTTTCCTCCCTTCTCCAAGTGATTCCATTTTATATTATATAATTTTTGTAACCCACGGCCCAGATATATTGATGTTATTGCATTAATTTATTTTTTATTTAGTCTTCATTTTGGTCCTAGGGCCATGGAATTCTATTCGAGGATTCTCAATCAAGACATGATGGGGGTGGGTGTTGTAAGTCATTTTCCCTACCATGTCAATTCAAAACAAAAACTTGCAGCGACATAAAATCCTACCTTTCCCTAAACAAACATACAATATTCCCAAAACATACACGTATAACTGAACTCCCCTCATGAGTAATTACACTTTACCCTTCCTTGTACATGTAGAGTATACTATAAGAGGTCTTACATTATCCCCGGGGGCAAAGACACCTAGTCCTTGAAGATTAGGAAATTTTTGTAGGATAATGTCGAGTGCTTCCCATGTGGCCTCATGCTTAAGTATTTCCACTGTATCAGTAATTCCCACACCTTCAAATCCATATTCTTGCAAAGGCCATGACATTGAGGGGTTTAGCCACCCATTCAAACTCATAGTCAAACACGGGGATTATCAATTAGATAGTGTAGACCTCTCCCAGAGTTGACCTTCTCAGATGTGGCACGCACATGAAATACTAAGTGGATCATGGCCTTCGATGGAACTTTCAACTTGTATGTGACTGGTCCAACTCATGAGAGGATGCGATACAACGAAAACACTTGGGTGTCAAATTTGCAAAAACCTTTCGAAGACTTTCGACGTGTCTTTCGATCATAGTAAAGAGTGTTACTTGATGGTGGAGGAGGCTAAATTTAGCCCAACCTTGAAAGGCATGAAAAGGGCCTATTGGTGTGCGTCTTTTTTACCTATTGTCAAAAGGAATAAGAGTATTCTGGAGAAGATGTAGATTTCTTTAGGTGTACGTTTCTAGAAGGTTTTATAACTACCCTTTTGTCTCTCATTCCTAACAACTGGATCCTTCAATAGAGAACTTTTTACTTCTGGATGGTCCATTTGTTAAAAAGAAAACAAAAGGCCCTCCCTTTTAAGCTTCTTTAGATGTATATTAAAAAATATATTTTTCCTACAATTAGACCTTTATTTCAATTTAGTTCCTACGATTTTTTAAAATTACACAATAAGATGGTCTTGCCACCAAAGAGAAATAATGAAAATCCAACATGACAAGTTGTTTCAAGACTTGGCATGGAAGATTAATCCCAAGATGTGGCAGATAGTTTTAATAATATAGGAATTTAAAGTTGAAAAGGTGAATGGGAAAAATGGGGGTAAAGGAAACAGGCACTAGAACTCGAAAATTTGGGCTTAGATAGGCTCGCAAAAAAAAAGGAAGTAGAAGCTTGCCAATAACGAGCACTACTAGGAAATCATCTAGAGTGATTGTCACTTGTCCATGATCAAACCAACATAATTCTTTTACTTAGTTCCAACATTATAGGTCATGTCCCTCCTTCAGTCCATACTTCCACAAAAAAGTTAAAGCTACAATTTCTCAAAGCTACATCAATCTATCTGCAAATCACACCCACTCAAAAAATCCTATTTCAAAACTAAATTGTATGGAAAGGTCTTGTTTCAAAATCAAAGCGCTTCCCTTTTGTTGGGCTGTTTTTATTTGTCACTTTTGTATGTTAGGGCTTTCTCAATCAAAGTTAGCTTCTCATACAATTAAAGTAATAATAAGATAAAAGTGAAAAATAAAATCGAGAACCATTATTTTAGTTCAAAATGGGATAGAGATTCAACCGTCTTAACCAATTGAGCCGTTTAAGTTCTCCCACTCCTTGTGCTATCTTTTCTTTTCTTTCTTTTTTTTTTTTTTTTTTTTTTTTTTTTTA